GTTCGAGTAGAGATTCTTAAGAGATCTCTAGGTGAGAAAATTCTTCTAAAATACCACCAACATATCTTGGTATCTAGAAAATTTTTCAATAAAGACTTTGTTTACTTTATTGCTTTAAAAAATTCTTAGTGGTAATTGTGAAATAATTAAAGAAGATTAAAACACAATTAAAACGAGTCACAAAAAGTATAATATAAAGAAAATAAGGTTTATAAAATTTTCATGTGTATATTTTATTTTATTATTTGCATTACATAGTCCTGAAAGTAATGAAAATTTCCAATAATGGGACTCTGAGAAATCTAGGTAGTGATTCCCGAGAATTCTCTAAGTAAGAAAAGTCTTCTAAAATTGTCAAAATATTAGAATATTTAAAAATTTCTTTTAATACAAAAATTTCCATTCTATAATTATTTTTTTAATTTGAACAATTTTCTTAAGAAATAAGAATGTGTTTTTTAGGAAATAACTATATTTGTAGATGATTATTATCACATGACTTTTAATAATTTCATAAAAAAACAAATGAAAAATCTCCTAAGATAAGATCTTAAAGAAATCTAAGTAGTGATTTTTTAGGAATCTTTAGGTAAAAAAAATATCTAAAATACATCAATGTATTGGAGCATTTAGATTAATTTTTGATAAAAATTTCTTATTTTTTTATAAATGGCATAAAAATGAGTTTTAGAAAAATGCTATTTGTTTTGAAAATATAGATATTATATTTTATGGTTTTTAAATATAAATGCTGAAAATAAATATGAACTATCATGAATAGGATTTTTAAGAATTTCGAGTAGCGATTCTTAAAAATTTTTTAGGTGAGATAGTTACTTTTAATATTATTAGAGTATTAGAATATTTTTAGAAAATTTTTATTATCTAAGGTTCTTATTTATTTTTCAAGAATGCTAAAAAATAAAAATATGTTTTTAAAGAAAATTAGGAAAATTAAATTTTAAATACCAATATTAAGACCATTTTAGTCAACATTAAAAAATAACACATAATTAATTGGTACTATTTTAATCAGGCATTGTGAGATATTAAATCTTCCTCACACGTAACCAACTTCCAACCTCAAACTATTTTCGCAAACCCAAAATTTTTTTTTAATAAATTTTAATTAATTTTAAAATTTTATTCAGAAAATAAATTTTAATAGGTAATCAATCATATCTAACAAAAAAAATTGTAATAACTCTTCTTTTTTGTTTTCAAATTCGTTTAGCGGCCTCTAAAACTATTACGACACCTATAACTCTATATAAGACAAAATGAAAGTTAGCAATGGATAAGAGTAGTGGACTGATAGTAAAGTGCTAAGTTGATTGACTTATATTGCCCCAACCCTAGCAAAAACAATTAGTATATTACATCAATTACTCTCTCCGTTTTAAATTATTTGAGCGGTATTAACTTTTACAAGAGTTTAAAAGAAAAGTTTTGATTTTAATATATTTAATATTAAAATTAAATTTTTTTTATAAAATTAAAGTTTCATGACTTTTAATGTCAAAGAGTTAAAAATAAAAAAATCATAAAAACATTACAAATAAAAAAAATCATAAAAATAATTTTAAAATATAAAAAGGTAAGAGTTTTAGATATTAAAAAAAAAAAAACATAATTTTGGGATAGGCAAAATTGAAATATGGACAAAAAAAGAAGAGAAAAAAGGAGTATATCTAACAATACAGAAATGCAACATGCACTTATCAATGAAGCAGCTTGTGCCGGACATAACTAAATGCACTAGAAACACCTTATTTCTCCTAGACCAAGAAAATAGGAAAAGCATTAGGCTTAAGTGGAAGGTAAATCCTAAACTTTATTTTCTTAAGATATTAATTGTACTTAATCACAATGAATATATTGCAAAGTTTATGAACAAAAATACTGATAAATAAATCTAGAGTTTAATTCAATTAATTTATATACTTATTTTTAAAAGATTGATATTCAATAGATCTGAAGTTCAAATTTTAACATATACAATTCTTTTTTTTTTTAATTTTTAGACGGTATTTTGTATAAAAAAAATTTTGAGTGATAAGCATTTGTGCAATATAATTACACAATTATATTAATTAATTCTACTTACTTTCGCTTTAGCTTTCAGTTGATGTCTCTGACTTTCAATCCTTTTAAATTCCCTTTCTTCCTCAAGCGTTTATATTTCCTACAATGCTCTTCATTTTTGTGTGCACTAGGTTCCACCTGCAAATTAAATGCATTACTATGAAAAAGCATTCGCAGGGGAACATTGATAATCAAAGAACAGAAAATTAACCTTTTGCGTATTGAACCAATTTCCTCATCATTATCTAACTTTGATGCTACATGCAGATCAGTTGCAGCTTCTTCGTACTGGTATAATGTCGATGTCCACATCAACTTATGAAATATTATCCATTTTGATTCATTGGATCTCAATATTTTGTTTTACAAAATATGTCTCGTAAATTGGAAATGATATAAATATTTATATCCTTACCAACTCTAGTACACAGCTGATGTAAAATTCATGGCTCCTCTCTTGGACCATTATAGTCTTCTCACTTCAACATGCATTGAGTCTCAAGATTTTGTTTCACAAAAAGTGCTTCACAAGTTGAAAGTGATACGAACATTTACATCTTTAAATCGATTTTAGTACATAGTTGATGTGAGATTCATAACTCTTCTCTAGGATCATGATATTCTCCTCACTCCAACGTGAATGCATCATCCTCGGTGACACATTGTTAGTACCCTAGAACCAGTTATGATATCAAATATCACAGTTTACATCAACTTGTGTGGTATTATATGTTTCAATCTATTGAAACTCATGGTTTCTCATAAAAGATGTCCTATAAGTTGAAAATGGTATACATATTTATATTTCAAAACCGACATTAATACGAACCGATACAAGATTCATGACTTCTTTCTAAAACCATGATACCTATCACTATCCCTGCCATTCCTTGAACTTTATATCTTTTTGCTGAATCAGGATTGATTTAAACATAAAATGTTAAGAACTTCAGGTTATCACTATTATGCGGAACAAATATCAAATAAAAACTAGAGACTCATTAATCTGATTTTTGTTTGCAGTCTAAGAAAGCATAGAGAAAGCAAGGAATGATACCTCTAAAGCGGCATCAGCATGATGGATTGCAGCATTTGGTTTGCTCAATTTAACAAAAACACTAGCTGAAAACAAGTATATGATCAGACTTTCAAGAGAATGATCCGTTAGCAACAATTAATTTATGCTGTAAATAAAATAACCTCTAGTTGCATATAATATTATTACTCAAGTGGGATTTAACATGATAGCTTCTGTTAGATAATCCATCGCTTCTTCCAGCTTACTTGAGGTGAAAAGAAACCTAGAATTTGAGAAGAAATGAGCTAAGAATCATCAATTCCAAAGGCTGAGCATGCCTTCAGAGATTGCATCAATAGTTTTTAATTTCTGTTTGAGCAGCATCCTGCTGATCCTCTGTAACTACAACTGAAGGTTCTCCCATCAGAATTAAAAGACACAACATTAACTAGTTTACCATAAAAGCCTGTCACAGGTCACCTAACTGGAGTAAAAATACAGCAGACATTAAACGAAATCATATAGTATTTCCTAGGATCACTCACTTTTTATGGAGGATCGTTGTCAAGTTCCACAACACCAGTGTCCTATAACTCGACATCAGACTGAACAATATCATCATCTTCTTCATTTGAAAAATTGGGTTTTTCGGCATCAAAGTGTTGCTCGGGCTCTGCCATGTTAACACCACTTTTATCCTGCAAATTGGCATATAAGATTAAGCTGAAAGAAACACGTATGTTTACATTCCACCACCATCCCTCCAGAAAATCTTAGCCCAGGTCTGCATACAAACGCATCCCTTACCCTAGCCTTCAAACTTCAAATATATGCCTTTATTTATTTCTCTCTTAGCTTTTATTTTACAGATTCTATAAAGCGAGAGTCTAGGCGATGCTAATGAAGGCTTGTGGCCGACTGCTACATTTTGATCAAACTGAAACCAGTAATTGTTTTGGTGATCGAAAGGAAGAAAAAAAACAGGCACAAGAAAGAATAAGTTTGTCTTAGCTGCACCAGAGAACAAAGTCCGTAGCACTTTTGTGGTAATATCAAGGCAAATTAACGACAAGCCCAAAGGACAAAAGAGAGCTTAAGTCTTACATTAGTATTATCGTCTATTTCTTACTTTTTGGTTTTTTTACTTTTCCATTATCAACAATCTTCATTGCCAATCTAGCTCACTTTTAACCGTTGCCCTTCTTTTCATATCATTTCTTAAAAGTGATTGGATAAAGCATTGGCCTAGCATGCGCATTCTAACGCTCACCGTTTTGTCTGCGGTAGAGTTTAACCTTATTTTTCTCCTCTTTTATGCCCCTAAATCTTAATATTTGTGACAACTAAATTTTGGCTAAGGGATCGTTTGATAGTATTGTATATTTTATGTTTTATATATTTGAAAATTTTGTTTTGTTTTATTTTTAATTTATTAAATTTGAAAACATATTTGGATAGAATATTTTTATTTTAAAAATGTGAAAATAAAAAAATGTAAAAAAATGCTAAAACTTTGAGGCTTAGTTTGCTATTAATAATAGAATAATATTTATTAATATAATACTATTTATTTATGAATATAATATTATTTAAAATATTAATTAATATTATTTATATAATATTTTATTTATATAATATTTATATAATAAAAATATTATTTTATTAATATAATAATTGTAACATTACTGTACAGTTTAATTGTAATTTTTGTTAGTAATGTTTGCGTGGTAATAGTGAAAATTATTTTTAAAAAACTAAAAATACCATCTTTCTGTTTTTAACAATTTTCAAAATTTTGTTTTCAACTTTTAAAAATAAAAAACAAAAATAATTTATCAAACATGTTTTTTATTTTTTTAATTTTTAAAAAAACTGAAATACCAAAACAAGAAACGTTAACAAATGACATCTAAGCTAAAGGTCAGGATAAGTGGTCGCTATTTCTTGGGTAATACCAAGGCAAATGAACGACAAGCGCAAAGGAGGAGGGACGGAGCTGAAGTCTTTACATTAGTATTATCGTCTTCATCGTTTTTTTTCCATTGTCTATAATCTTCGATACCAATCTCCAGCTCACTTTTAACCGTCACCCTTTTTGTCTACAGTAAGTCTAAACTTATTTTTCTCCTCTTTTATACCCCTAAACGCCACTCAAACACAAGCTCCTAAAACTTGTGACACCCAGGTAAATTAAGCTAAATAAAAAAGGTGAAAATAAGTGCTCGTGATTCAATGGCGAAGCAGGGCCGAAATACCGTGAATAGAAGCCTCGAGACTCTTTTAGACATGGACAAATCTGCAGCTGCAGGCAAGAATACCATGCCAGTACCTGTGCCTCCCCGGAAAACGATTCCTGGCCACGGCCTTGAGTTCAATAACCTCTCTTACAGTGTCATGAAGAAGCAAAAGAAAGATGGTGAATGGATCAAGAAAGAGGCCTATCTTCTCAATGATATATCAGGCCAGTCTATGAGGGGCGAAATCATGGCCATCATGGGGCCTAGTGGTGCTGGGAAATCCACGTTTCTCGATGCATTGGCTGGTCGTATTGCACAAGGGAGTCTTGAAGGTTCTGTTAGAATCGATGGAAAGCCGGTCAGAATAATTAATACAGTTAATTATCATCTTCTTTAAATGATCTTAAAAACTCTCTTCTCAGTTCTTACTGTATAAGTTATGCTTTGTTCAGGTGACTGCCAGCTACATGAAAATGATCTCATCATATGTAATGCAAGACGACCAGCTGTTTCCCATGTTGACGGTTCATGAAACCTTCATGTTTGCAGCTGAGGTGAGGCTGCCTCCCTCCATTTCCAGGGAGGAGAAGAAAAAGCGAGTAAATGAACTGCTTGATCAATTAGGCTTGCAGGTAACTAAAGCCTTAATTTAAATACATTGACTGAAACATAAATAAAATTTAATGATGCTTGTATTAATTATGGCTTTATATATAGATCGCAGCACATACATATATTGGTGATGAGGGAAGGAGAGGAGTGTCTGGAGGAGAGCGGCGAAGGGTATCTATCGGCATAGACATTATTCATAAGCCATCTCTATTGTTCCTCGATGAACCAACATCAGGTCTGGACTCCACAAGCGCTTACAGTGTGGTGGACAAGGTGAAGGACATAGCTCGAGGAGGTAGCATCATCCTCATGACCATCCACCAACCTTCCTATAGAATTCAATTGCTCTTAGACCGCATAACCATTTTAGCAAGGTACAAAATAGCAATAAACTCCTCGACAAGATTACGACACACAAATATGTTAATTCAGAATGCGTTGTGATAATGTATCTATAGCTAGTTTTGAGCACTGTCTATCAGATGCTACAAAATACAAACTAATTGAACTGTTTATTGTTGCTAATTAAGCTGTATATCAAAATGTTTTTCAGAGGTAGACTAATATATATGGGAAGCCCATCCTCTCTCCCGGCTCATCTTTCTGGGTTTGGAAGGCCAGTTCCTGATGGTGAGAACAGTCTTGAATATCTTCTAGATGTTATCAAGGAGTACGATGAATCAACTGTGGGACTAGACCCTCTGGTGCTGTACCAATGTGATGGTATCAAACCTGACCAAGCTGCCAGGACTCCAGTTCCGAAAACACTGAAAACACCCAAAACACCGAGGACCCCTTACATGAAAACGTCTGGATCCAGGCATGCTATTAGCCTTCATAGCCATGCTTTCTCTATTGGCAATGGAACTCCTCGATCACAATCTGGCCCATTTGATTATGACGACGATGATGAAGATGAGGAGGAGTTTGACTACTCTCTGGAACGCAAAGCTGCCCAGAGGCAGCCCCAGACACCAATGAGTATGCAGAGTAGTGTTTATAATCCACGCTTGGCCTCTCAGTTCTACAAAGATTTCTCTGTCTGGATCTACCGTGGTGTCACTGGAACTCCTCGTCGTGCACCATCCTGGACTCCAGCTAGAACTCCGGGACGAACACCTGCTAAAACGCCAAGTTCCGGAGCAAGAAGTTATGTTTCAGGTCGATATCCAACGCCTCAGAAATCATCTTCTCGCCCCAAAACCCCGGTAGTTTTTAGCCCATCTCCAGACCCGTACTCTCCATCTTATGAAGAGTTCGATGTGGAAGAAGAAGTGCTAGATGAGCCAGTGCATGGACCCAAGTTTGCAAATTCATGGCTCCGAGAGGTTGCAGTTCTCTCATGGCGCACAGTTCTTAATGTGCTTCGAACGCCAGAACTCTTCCTTTCACGTGAGATAGTATTGACAATCATGGCAATCATTCTATCCTCACTTTTTTCAAACTTGAGTCACTATGATTTCAAAACAATTAACCGGCTTCTCAATTTCTACATCTTTGCAATCTGCTTAGTGTTCTTCTCCTCAAATGATGCTGTCCCAACTTTCATTCAGGAAAGATTCATCTTCATTAGAGAGACCTCCCACAATGCCTACCGAGCTTCTTCTTATGTCATCTCCTCTCTCATAGTCTATCTCCCATTTTTTGCTATTCAAGGATTCACGTTCGCTGCAATTACCAAATACTGGCTTCACCTCCAAAGTAGTCTCTTCAACTTTTGGATGATCCTTTATGCCTCTCTGATTACAACCAATGCTTATGTGATGCTTGTTAGTGCACTTGTCCCAAGTTATATTACAGGTTATGCTGTGGTCATTGCCACAACAGCTCTCTTCTTCCTCACTTGTGGCTTTTTCCTCAAAGGAAGTAAGATACCCATTGCTTGGAGGTGGCTCCATTACATTTCAGCAATCAAATATCCATTTGAGGCATTGCTAGTGAATGAGTTCAAAGGCAAGGAAACTTGCTATACAGGGAACCCGTCGGATCTTTCACCAGGTCCTCTAGGGGAGGTGAGGCCCAGTAAACTGCATCTAAAAAACCCAGGTCTTGAAAACTGCACAATGATTGGAGAAGATGTTTTATCCTCAATGGGTATTCACTTGGAGAACCTTTGGTATGACATTCTTATCTTGCTAGCTTGGGGAGTTCTCTACCGCCTCTTCTTCTACGTGGTCCTTAGATTTTATTCCAAGAATGAGAGAAAATGAAGTGCTGTATTTCTAGGATTTACTTTCTTTCCCATTTTCATGATTGTCTCTTTAAATTTCAGTTCACTGCTAATACATGAATGAACACATTATTAAAGCACTAGGGAAAAAAGTTATTTCCCTTCCATTTATTTGGATTCATAAAATCAGGGTAATAGAGAATAAATGAATCCCATGGCAGCATTAGAAAATAAATTTTCTTGTTTCCGCCAACGAGTCATTGTCACGATAATAAGAAAAAAACTCTTATACTTATAGGTATATTAATTTTTATAATTTGTCGTTTTATTCTGTCTACTGAATTCTTCTGATTTAACATGTCATATATATTAATTTATGTCTGCTTGTGATTATTGTCTCATCTCGCAAATATAATCTCCTAAAAAAATTTCTCCTCTTTGGATGCATAAAACTATGGTAATAATGATGACAAATGTTATGTGATTTACAAGAAAAATAAGGCCATTAATAAATTAAAAAATCAAAAAATTAATTCCAATCGAATGATTTACATGAGTTTGATTTGAATTTGTTTAAATTCAGTTCAAATTCGAATAAATGATATCATAAAAACTACATAAATTATGATCGAATCGATGTATTCTGATCGAATTCTGAATTAATTTAAATTAAAAAACTCAAAATATTAAAATTTTGAAAAAATTTAAATTTCCAATATTTTTTAAGCCCGTTTCCTTACCCCAGACCCAGTCTAATGCCTATTTACTATAAGCACGATGACAAATAAAACAAGCTCTCAAAAGCCTCACGCGTAAGCACGTGTTCACACGTCCCTGTATTAATTCCCCCAACCCAATCAAACTTACTTTATTTTTATATTTAAGAACAAATAAGAAACTAATTACTGCTATTAAAATTTTTTTAAAGTTAATTACTGCTACTACTACTTCTTCTACAATTTAATGGATGTTTCTTTCTTCTTCACCGCTGTCCTAAGTTTTCAATTTTTAGAATTGTGGTAGTAATCTACAAATTATTATAATTAATATCGGTGTGATTGTTAGTAAAAAATTAAACTTCTACTTCTTGTAATCAACATTTAATTTTAAATAATTTCAAATATAAAAATATTAAATGATATTTTAATAAGATAATATTTAAATAAAATTTGAACTTCACTAAAAAAAATAACAATAATTTTTTGAAATTTCTTTGATATTTTATTATAGAACAAATTATGAAATTTTATTTTAATATAATTAAAATTCTGACATTATGTAATATTTTATATTTATTAAAGTTTTTATTAAATAATGTAATTTATGATAACTGCATATTTGGATGAATTAGATGATAAATATTAAAAAAGATATCTTAAAATTTTAACAATTAAAGTCCATTCATTTCAAGTACAGCGAACATAACAGTAAAATTCTGGGATTGATTATTCTAGGTTTATTATTCTGGAATGGGTGTAAGCCTATATTCCAACGGTCAAAAGTCAAATAAATTAAATTATTTTTTATATGTATATTTTTTTAATTATATATTATAATTTTATTTAATTAATTGAGAAGTTCAAGTTTTATTTCAATCAAAAACTCAAATTTGAAACTTAATTAAAGCTCAAATTTATTTAAATTAAAAATCCAAATTATTTATCCGATCCGATGTGAATTTATCCGAATCGATTTTATCCGGATATTTTATTTATGCAGATCGGATACGAATTATAAAATGCAAACTCTAAATAGGTCGGATCAAATAAAAAAATTTAAAATTTTGAATTGATCCAATTTAATATCACCCCTAATTTGATTACTTATATAGGAAAAAAAAATAATAATAATAAAAATTTACAATATCTAACGTCTGATGTTGCTTTAATGCTTAAGACATACTGACATAGGATATTCTCAAGAAAAAGTAAAAAGGAGATTAGCAGCATATTCCCAAAAAATAGATTGAAAAAAAAAAGATGTCACATATATATCAGAATAAAAAAAATATTGCATATGTTAAAATTAAAATTAAAATTTGCTGAATATCTCTTTTGAAATTATTGAATGAATCAAATAAAGTAAATTTTGAATTTTAAAAAAGAGATTATATAAGATATATAGTTCACTTTTCATGGCTGGGCACTTAGATTCCAATTCCTGATAAGGTAATTTCTCCTTGCAAGGGCGTCTCGCTAATTGTAGTTGATTACAGTGGGACTATGATTCTTATCTAATTTACTTGCTATAGGCAGTACTGACTTTGATGTACTCACTTTAAGGAAATTATTATTATCTAACTTACAGCTTAAAATTGTGACATCTGGAAGCTGTCACATCAGCTCCATATTAACGCTTCACTTTTTTTTTTTCTCAACCTTCTCACTACTCAAGTCCTTTGTTGCTTCCTCATTTATTTCAAGATTTTTTTTTCTTATTCCCTCTTTAAAGAGACATTGGAGAATTCAAGGAATTTGAATAGCTTGAGAGGAGTTGAATTCTCACCATGCGATTCCATCGTTTATGTGACCCATTGTTTTCCCTCCTCACTATTAATTGTTTATTAACTTTAATTTTTAGATTCCTAGAAAAATCCATTCATTTAATCTTTTGATTCTAATTATAAATCATTTTTTATTTAATTCCTTCTTAAAAAAAATTTTCTATTGCTCTATTAGGTTTTATTTTTTATCATTTTAAGATTTATTCAAGATTTGTCAAATTCTTTATTCTTCAGTAATTTTTTTTTTGAATAATTCTACATCAAAGATATATTGCTTTTAATTAAGAGGTTTAATTTTTTTTCCCGTTATTTCTTAATTTAAAGTCAAACCATTTGGAAAAATGGTTTTTAAAAGAGAATCTGTCTAAACATTACAAATCTATATTTGAAAGGTTTTTATTTTTTTAAAATTATCTTTAGTATGTTAAATTCTTTGAAAATCCAAAACTTCCCATATGTTATATTTGATTTGGTTGTAGTTAATTTCATGGTGCATTCAAATTTTAAAACAATATTGGAAATTTTTTTAAATGTTTTTTTGAAAATTGTATTAGAATAAAAATATATGAAAATTTTTAAAATATATATAACAAATTTCTACTTAATATTTGCTAATTTTTAACTTCTGTTTTCCTTATCCTTTATGGGCTAATTTTCGATTTTGCTTGAAAGTATCAAACTACTCTACTAGTGAAACAGGTATTCCATATAAAAAATTGTTTGCTTAATCAATATATTGTTTGAAAGATTCAGTAGTACTGAACAATAAGTTGATGATAATTTAGCTTAATTTATCTATGGTTATTACCATCATATATTTTGTTGTTGCTTTAATATTGTCAACTTCTGTTTAACAAAATATTTGATAAAAACTATTTGTTTGGTTATCTACAAGCATTCATTTGAATAAGTAATGAACTGTTAGGAAAAACTTAACCTTACACATGTATTCTATTGTTTACTATTATCGAAGACTAATGCTAGGAACTATCATTGATAGTTGAGATGTTAAAAATTAATAGCAAATAAATAAACTCACAAAAAAGTTAACTCATAAGAATTTGAATAGTGACAGAATATGATTATTAGATTAAAATGGATAAAAATTCACCACCGAGACTAGACATTAAGAGATACAGAAATATCACCCTAAAAATTTTAATTAAGGATACAAAATAATAGAAGAGGCAAAGTTTCAAATATCTTAAAGATCTTAAAAATCTTGGTTCCAATTGTCTTTTATTAAATTTTAATATTTAAATATTAAAAATAAATTTTAAGATTTCTCCATCAATCTGGTAAAGTTCTTAAAAATACTTTCTCATATCAAGAGTATTAAAAAATCTAATTTGTTTTCTTGAAGAGGCACCATCTTCCAAAAAGCCTAATAATTTATTTTTTATTAAATCTTGTTTTATTGAAAAAGTATCTAAATTTTGCATCATTTGGGTTAAAGTTAGAAATATTTTCACACCAAAAAATTTTGTAAATAATCATCCATTTACAATTACTAAAAATTTCATCATCGAAATTTATTTTTTATTTTAGTAACTCTTATTTTTAATATATCTAAATTTCTCACTATTTAGGTTGAATTTAGAAATATATTTCTTAGAATTTATGCTTTTATTATAGAACTTTATTTATCATTTATTTCTTAATTCCTAGAATGAAAATAAAATGCCAATCTCATTCAAATTCTTCCACTATTTAGGTTGAATTCCAAAAAGAATTATACTTAGAAATCTCTTAGAAAATTAACCATTTGTAATTTTCTTGGGATTTCATCCTCGGATAATTGTCATATATTTTCAAACAAATTTATAAATCATACATTTTCTTATTTGACTTGGAAATGAATGCAATTATTTTTGCTAAATTTTTGTCAAAATTATTTCACAATCTAGGCTAAATTTAGAGAAATTCTTCACCTAAATATTTATTAAAAAAATTGATCGTTTGAAATTTCTAAAAATCTCATCATCAAATAATTGTTAACTTAATCCCGAAATTTTATAAGGTTTATTTTTATATATTTATTTATTTTTAAAAAATAACTACTAATTATTGTTATTGAGATTTTATTTAAAATTTTCCCATTTAGGTCAAATTTAGAAAAAAACATCTCACCTAAAAATTTTCTAGAAAATGATCCATTTGTAATTTTTAAGAATTTCATCTTTGGATAATTATGATTTATTTTTAAATTTTTATTAGAATTTTATTTTAACTTTTAATGTATTTTTATAATTTAGAATAACTTCCCCTAATAATTTTCTAAAAAAATTAATCATGCAAAATATTTCAAAAATAAATAATTAAATGAATAAAATAAAATAAAAAAAAGATAACTAAAATCCATAAAATAAAATAAAAAAGCATGCGGAACGGGTTAGATGAGTTGACACTTGAAAAACTGAGAATCGTTGTCGGAGTCTAGAGGTATCATCGAAATCCTTGTTGGGACCTTCAACGCTCATTAAAAAATATCATCGCAATATGAAAATCTTGTTGAAACTTAGGAATCTCGTTGGGAAATCGTTGGGAACTAGAAAAAGCCTAATAGTTGAATTGCCTCTAACTTTTATGCTCTCAAAATTTCCTTTATGATTGTTGTGTTTGTGCGGTAGTGAGGTATTGGTGGACAATGTGATAATAAAGGGAAATGGTAGGCTAAGATAACGTTTTG